CAATACCAGACATCCATACACCTCGAATTCCACAAACAGGGAATTTTTATCCCCAAGTTCACAGACCTTTAGTTTATCTTTTAAAGAAACTGAACCATTGTGTTGGATCAAAGTCGAAAGACTTGGCCACAGATCATGGAATAGCCTGAGGCTTTCAGCAGAATTTTGAGTCCGAATGCAATTTAAAATTTCAGATTTCTCAAGGGAAGAGAAACTCTGCTGTTAGACTTGAGAAGGGAGGGTGGCGCGTGCCTGCGTGTTTGTCAGCTGAGCAGAGCTGTATTTATCTTTCCAACTCAAATTTTGCCAGATTCTAGCTTTAAAAATAAATCATGGGAATATTGGAGAACATGGAATCTCGCCATTGTTCCAGGATGATAGCAAAATCGGCGATAGTTGATATTCTATCATTGCTAGAGGAAAAAAAATTCATGTATTTTATTCTTTTGTGTGTGATTGGCATCCTCTGTGAAAAGATGTGCATTTTCATAAGACAGGAAATTATCTTAACAAAGAAACCTTATTTAAATATATAAGCTGTCTTTTAGAATCCTCTGAGTTCCCCCTATTATTCTTTTTAAGAGCTATCTACCTCACATACTTACAGTCTATTGGGAAGATTTAATTTGTCTTGGTGTCAGATATAGATCGATTTTTATAAGAAAATTACAATATCAGAAAATTATACTAAGTCTACAAAGACTTTTTCACAGTCACCACACTTTGAGGAAGAACTTTTATTTTTTTCCACTTTTTACTGTGAGGGTTGAAGTTGGATGTACAGCCCTGTGGAAACTGATGGTGAGAGAGAAAACTGGGTACGAAAGAAGAAAAGCTCATAAGTAAGCACAACAAAGGTTTCACACAGTCAGCATCAAGTTTCCTCTAAAATAATATTTCATTTTTCAAACATTCTTTCTGGTTACATCTCATAATTTGCTTAGCACTCTGAGATGAAGGAAAGTACACATAGGGCATTACTTTTATTATGTGTAAAGTATGTTGCATAGGATTGTACAGTGTTCATTATAACACTTGTTGAAAAGCAGATCATTATTAAACAGATTTACGTTTCCATTATATGTTTGCTTATTGTGCTTTTCAGGGAAGTGAAGGGGTAAGTTTAAGAAAAGAAATCCTTTGTGGTTTTGTTTTTGGTTTTTTTTTTTTCATTTTAAAGTAGTTCCTCTACCTTTGATTTTTCAATTAAAGAAAAAAAAAAGACAAATCTTATTGGACAACTATTTCCTACTGTTTAAAACCTCCCCTGGCTATTGTCAGGGAGGAAGAAATTTTTCTTTGTCCAAAGTTCTTCTAGTTGGACTAAGAATTAAATTTCCCTGAGACAGATTAACAGGAGAAAATCAAATTTAGTTTCCTACCTATGGGGAATCTACACAGACATGGAAATTCCAAAGACAGGCATATGTGTCATCCTAGGCTAAGGAGAGGAGTAAGGGAGGAAAGCTACTAGCAGGAAGGTAGGAGATGTTTGGAAAACAAAGGTTGCCCTGTTATACAGTTAAGTTTCTTAGGTAAAAAGGAATCTCTATAAATAGCTCTTTTGTGGGTACAGGTCCCCTATCTAAAATTTTTTAGGCAGTTGGTGGGGAGGTCAAAGTTTCTTCCTGAGTCTTTTGGGTCTTGATTATTTTCAGCTCAAAATAATCTGCATGCCAACGTCTGGTCCATTTTGGATCGCCTGCCCTTGCTGGGGGGGAGCCCTATAAGAGGGCACTTTTAAAGAAATAGCTCTGCATCCCCTTTCTTCTCCCCCTATTTGCAATATCTCTCGTTGTGAGAAGTCATTGGAGCAAAGATTCACAAAATGCTCATTTAGTGCAGAGCATCATGTTAGGTGTCATGTGTATTTTTATGTTTGGATGGGATGGATCGGTTTGTGTTAAAGGAACAGCAGCACAGTCACACTAAAATAAAATGAATGTTAAATGAATGAATGTTAGGAGAGGGAAAAAACATAAGAAAAAATGATAATTTATCAATCTGTCAGTAGGTACAAGTAAGCATCCATGATTTTCAGCAACAGTGTGTTTGTACCATAGTAAAAAAGTATATCACTAGCAATCAGGAGAATGTCATTCATTCATTCATAATCCATTTAGGGCCTTTTATATCTCAGTCACTAGCAGTCTATAATTAATTACTTGTTGTGTAACCTTGAATTAACCCCTGGAAATATTACCACATAGTACCTTGTATTTGTTACCTTTATGCCAGAGCCTAGCAGAGCACCTAGCACATCAGCTGTTCAGTAAATGCTAGTTGAATGAATAAGGGAAGGAACAACTAATCTTAGCTATTCATTAATAAAAGGAACCTACCCTTTAAAATTGTATTTAAAGTAGAGTTTTTTAAGGAAGGCAAGAAGTGTTGCCCTCAGTGTTTCCCGTGTCCAGTGAATACTTAGGACGACATTTCCTTCATCTGCTTACTGATAAGGCAGTGGTTTTTATAATGTAATGAACTGAGGATTTTATGGACATGTATTGTTAGAGAAAAATTTTGGTGATACGATGCAATCTGATGTATTTCTTTTACATTTAAATAAAAACATGTTATAAATATTTTTTGCTATTTTAGTTTTATGTTGCTTATGTGATAGCCTTTATGACTGAAGATGCCTCATTTAAAATTTTAAAGTGCTAAACTTTCACCATTGTCTATGGATGTATCTCCTCATTTCATTTTAGGGCCATTTGAAAACCTGTCTAATTTCAGTGGTTCCTATATATATGTCTATGTAAAAAGACATACACACACACACACACACACACACACACACACACATATATACATAGACATATAGTCACACTCTACCCTGAATTTTCCTATATTCCCCAAATGATTCATTTCTATTATTTCAAGGTTGGGAAAATTAACTATTTTCTTAAGAGATTAATAGCAAGTGTTTACTTAGTATCCTCTATGTACAACATAATTCTCTTAAGCACCATTACTATCATAAAAAGAATTAAGACATTTCCTTTATCTCCATTACAGTCCAATGGAGAAGACTGACCACTGCATTGGAGACAATCTGAAGTTAAGCCTCAAAACCCCATTGTTTCTATTACCCCAAATTATGTTGCATTTCCTCTTCCTTCAAAAAATTGTGGAGAGTAATATTTTACTTTAAAGGAGCATCATCCTCCAGTTACATGCCCCAAGAAAACACAAAGCCATTGTAGAATCATCTATGCAACTTCTCTTTTGTCTTTACCTTGGTAGTAGAAAAAGCAATCAGTAACCACAGATCCACAACAAAAAAGGATTGTTTCAAGAAAGTGAGTCAAAAGAAGAATGAATAAACAGGATACACAGGAACAACCTGTACACGTTATAAGTACAAATAGGATTATAAACAAGGTAGATGAAACCAGGGGTTATCAGAACCCAGGAAATTAGGCAAAAAGGCCAGTCAAGGCTACTTTGATTAGAAGCTCACTAATCCATTCAGAGTAGTTATTGGGAGGCAATTATCTGATAATATGATGAATAAAATGATTCAGTAGGCCACGTGAGTAACTTTTTTTGTTTTCATTTTTTTTTTTTAAGTTAATTTATTTTTGACAGAGACAGAGTGTGAGCATGAGCTGGGGAGGGGCAGGGGGAGAGAGGGAGGAGACACAGAATCCTAAGCAGGCTCCAGGCTCCAAGCTGTCAGCACAGAGCCCGATGCGGGGCTTGAACTCACAAATTGTGAGATCATGACCTGGGCCTGTCTCTCTATGTCTCTGAAAAATGAATAACCTTAAAAAATAAAAAAAATTAAAAAAAGAGGACATGAGGTCCCTTTTGCCTCTTACTGATATATTATAGACAGTTTGTGTTTCATCAGGCAATACTGTCAAATCTCCAATATGTAGCAATAAATAAGAAATACCATTGTGCTATTAATAATATTACATTATTAATTTTGTTTGAAATGAAAAAACTTATTATGGGGTATGATATTGGTATTATACATTTAACTTTAAGATATAAATTTTCCTTTGGCCATATGGATTTTTTAAATTAAAAAGTAAACAGGTAATTTTTTTTTTAAACACTAGCAGACTGCTGGCCAGTGGCTATCCTAATTCATGATAATCTGGCACCTCTTAAAGGACTAAGAATTGATCATGGAATGACTGCCATCCAGTATTGTGCACACGGAGTCAACAGTACAGCTTGATAAACACGTATTAAGTGCCTACTATATACACCTAAGTCCTGGGGTGATCTTTCTACACTTGAGAAGCTTAAATTTGAACAAGATAATATTTAAGATACTAGACACTTGTTTGAATTTTTCATTTTTCCATAAATATTTATTTAGCACCCACAATGGTGAAGTTATTGGGCCATGGATTGTGGTAGATGCCACAGTGAATAAAGGACAATTTTCCGCTTTTCCATTGCTTATAAATAAATAAGGGACACCGCTATGCATTTTAATTGCATAGCAAAGCAAATTGTGACATTCGCATCAGACAGCTATAAACAGAGCAGTATGGGGGTTCCAAAGAGGAGATCACATCCAGTTGAGTAGACTAAGGAATACTTTAGCTTAGGTGACTTTTAAGTTTGACCTTGATTGAAGTTGGAAATGAAGGAATGTTTAAGGTAAGATTATGTGACCACACCATGAGTAGGCACCGTGACAGGATAAATAATAGCAATGAGCTGTTGTAAATTAGGTATCTTGAAACTCTTACATATATTTGCCTTTTCCTTCCCTTTCGTCATATCTACATAAATTTAAAAAACAAGGTTTGCTATTTTACAACACATTAACACACCACAGAAGTGATGGTAGGCTTAGATTTACTGTAATTGTTATTGGCTGATATTTGCTGTGCTCTTAGAACCAGTTCAAGACCTCCCAAAACTTTTTTGGGAGATTAGTAAGGTAACAGGAGCAAATTGTAAAATTTAGTTTCCCTCTCAGTGTATTAATTTATAGTGGTCACGTAACTTTTTTTTTAAGTTGGTAACTAATGTCTTTTTATTCCAAGCAGGACTGTGATATGGATTTAGAGCTCCAGGACTTTTATAACAAGACACTTGCCACTGAGAACAGTACTGGGGCCCCTCGGAGCTCTGATTTCCCAGTGTGGGATGACTATAAAAGCAGTGTAGATGACCTGCAGTATTTTCTGATTGGACTTTATACATTTGTAAGTCTTCTTGGTTTCATGGGGAATCTCCTTATTTTAATGGCACTCATGAGAAAGCGTAACCAGAAGACTACAGTAAACTTCCTCATAGGAAATTTGGCCTTCTCTGATATCTTGGTTGTGTTGTTTTGCTCACCTTTCACACTGACCTCCGTCTTGCTGGATCAGTGGATGTTTGGCAAAGTCATGTGTCATATTATGCCTTTTCTTCAGTGTGTTTCAGTTCTGGTCTCAACTTTAATTTTAATATCAATTGCCATTGTCAGGTATCATATGATAAAACATCCTATATCTAATAATTTAACAGCAAACCATGGCTACTTCTTGATAGCTACTGTCTGGACGCTAGGTTTTGCGATTTGTTCTCCTCTTCCAGTGTTTCACAGTCTGGTGGAACTTCAGGAAACATTTGGCTCAACGTTGCTGAGCAGCAGGTATTTATGCGTTGAGTCGTGGCCATCCGATTCATACAGAATTGCTTTTACCATCTCTTTATTGCTAGTTCAGTATATTCTGCCCTTGGTGTGTCTAACCATAAGTCATACCAGTGTCTGCAGGAGTATAAGCTGTGGGTTGTCCAACCAAGAAAGCAAACTAGAAGAAAATGAGATGATCAACTTAACTCTTCATCCATTCAAAAAGAGTGGGCCTCAGGGGAAACTTTCCAGCAGCCAGAAATGGAGTTATTCATTCATCAGAAAACACAGAAGAAGATACAGCAAGAAGACAGCGTGCGTGTTACCTGCTCCAGCAAGACCTTCTCAAGAGAACCATTCAAGAATGCTTCCAGAAAACTTTGGGTCTGTAAAAAGTCAGCTCTCGTCATCCAGTAAGTTCATACCAGGAGTCCCCACCTGCTTTGAGATGAAACCTGAAGAAAACTCAGATGTTCATGAAATGAGAGTAAACCGTTCGATCATGAGGATAAAAAAGAGATCTCGAAGTGTTTTTTATAGACTAACCATATTGATATTGGTGTTTGCTGTTAGCTGGATGCCACTACACCTTTTCCATGTGGTAACTGATTTTAATGATAACCTTATTTCAAATAGGCATTTCAAGTTGGTGTATTGCATCTGTCATTTGTTAGGCATGATGTCTTGTTGTCTGAATCCTATTCTGTATGGATTTCTTAATAATGGGATCAAAGCTGATTTAATTTCCCTTATACAGTGTCTTCATATGTCATAATCCCAAATGTTTATGAAGGAAAGAACAAATGTTGGGATGGTCTAAAACACATTCACAATAACCATTTATGTATAGTAAACACGTTTTAGTAACATGAAATTCAATTTATGTATAAGAGTTCTGGATTTGAATGTCAATTCATAATATATGGAAGATAATTTTCATGTGTTATATATAATATGATGAGTTCATTTAGCTACATAAAGTCAATGTCAGTACACTCTGTAATTTCATTTTAAATATGGGGCACCTGGGTGGCTCAGTCGGTTGAGCGTCCGACTTTGGCTCAGGTCATGATCTTGCGGTCCGTGAGTTTGAGCCCTGCGTCGGGCTCTGTGCTGACAGCTCAGAGCCTGGAGCCTGCTTCAGATACTGTGTCTCCCTGTCTCCCTGCCCCTCTGTCACTTGTGCTCTGTCTCTCAAAAACTAAATAAACATTTAAAAAAATTAAATAGCAGTTATATTAAGTTTCATTTAATCTTGTCTTGCAAACAAATAAATTGTAATTTTTATTTAAAATAAAAGTTATATCGAACCAACTCAGTATTTTTGGTTGAAAATTATAATAAGCAAAAATGTTTTTCCTAAGGATCATTTAATTTCAAATGTGAGGAATATATATTATCTATTTATCTTCAATTCCACTTCACAGGCTTCTTAATATTTAGGTTGTGAAAATACCAAAAACATTTAGGATGCTCAGCAAATCATAACAAATGACACATGTATGCCCAAGTCATGATCAAAATTGTAAGCATTGGGCACAGTTTTGGCAGGAAAACACTTATTTCCTGTTATTGATAATTGGTCAGGTTGTTCATTTACTCCCACTATCCTAGTAATACACAATTAACTTACCAAATAAAAGTAGATTTTAAATCTTTTCTAGTCTTATACCACATTGACACTATCGAAGAAAGATTGTTTTCATGTACATCTTTTATAATCTAAAATGTGAAGTGTAAATGGTATACGTATTTCCAAATATTAAATAACTTTTTAAAAATACTTAGTGTCCATAAGAAAAAAAGGTTAATTTTTTTGGCCAAGATATAGAATGATTCATATACTTTGTGCTATTTCAGTAGTGAGGTCTCATATGCTATCTTACTAAACTTTACAATTGAGACTTTTTGTTTATTCCAACCGGTTTTTTTAAAAAACTGAGCCCCTGAAAATTGAATATTTTCACATATGGCTCATATGTGCAAAATGACATTGCTGTCTTCATTTCGTACAACTGATTTAACTTCCCTTGTAGTTATTTCTGTTCACAAAGGAAAACAACAGAACAAGGAACATTTTAGGTTTGCAAGTAGGTAATTCGGGTAGTTTTTTAATCTATTGAAAATCCAAAACCTCGGGGCGCCTGGGTGGCGCAGTCGGTTGGACGTGCGACTTCAGCCAGGTCACGATCTCGCGGTCCGTGAGTTCGAGCCCTGCGTCAGGCTCTGGGCTGATGGCTCAGAGCCTGGAGCCTGTTTCTGATTCTGTGTCTCCCTCTCTCTCTGCCCCTCCCCCGTTCATGCTCTGTCTCTCTCTGTCCCAAAAAAAATAAATAAACGTTGAAAAAAAAAATTAAAAAAAAAAAGAAAATCCAAAACCTCTATGGCGGCTTTCTTTCACACACCCTCCGCCTCCTTTGCTACATGTTGTCTACACATGGGGGAAGCTGAAAATGGTGCTAGTCCACATGGTATCCCAAGCTCACTCCTACTGAACTCCAGCTGAGGAGTAACTGTTTTGCCCGGTCTCCATGTTATGTACTCCTGTGTAATTGTATGGTCCGTCCTAAGCAAGGTCAGGAGCTGAGAGTCCAACCCCAATATCCTCCACCCCTACTGACACTGCATCGATTGTGTGGTTGCATAGACACTCCACCATGCCCTCCATTGTGTTCTGAGCCCGGGGTCTTCTGCTCTATCGGGTCTTGTACCTGCCAAGTCTGGCGACTGCTGGGAAACTTTAAATTCGTGACCAAGAACTCTGCAGGAGCTTATGAAATTCTGTTCCTCACATAGATCACTGAGAACTGAAGCAGGCAGCATGGATGTACTGAGTTCTTCTCTGCCCACACACTATGAGCTGCCATATCTACATTGCTGTGCTCACCCTATGTTGCCACAAAAGCACTCTGCTTTTCAGTCTTTTTCTAGATTTTCAAATATGAAACTGTGTACACTCCCCTCTACTTTTAGCTTCTCTCTTATCTATCTGATTCTATATTAATGTCCTCCCCAAGTTTTTATATGGCCACAGATAGAAAAAATGAAAGAACTTTGGTTCACTTTTGCTTTTCTTTTTCTCTCCTTTTTTTTTTTATTCTAAGAGCCTCTATTTCTTTCTACCTACAAAGGTTGTTCCCTACTTATAATATCTTCATTTTTCTCTTCACTATGCCTTACAGTAAAATTATGTTCAGAACATCAAGGTTTGCTTTTGGAAAAGGAAGCTTTTGTGATTTAAAACCTGTTTCCCCTCATCAGTGCTTAGATTCAAGTGTATCAAGCAATAAACCTTGACCAAAACCAAAAAGTCTAAGCTGAAGAATGACTTCTTATTTCTAAAAGCAATAGGATAGATAGATAGGTGATAGATAGATAGATAAATAAAAGCAATAGGTATTTTCACTTTCACTAGGGCAGTCAATTTCAAGGCATAATTTTAGTGGCTAGAGCGGGATGGGGGTGAGGGGGAACTCACTGCTAAGTGCAAATATAAACGTATAGGGAGGTATTTTATCATGTTAGAATGAATTATATTAGTAAATGTACAATACCTGTCAAACTTCACAGATTTTATGGTTGCTGAGAGATGAGTTTAGTTAAACTGGATAAACTAATTTGTGGTATTTATTTTAAAGTTTATTTATTTTGAGAGAGAGAGATGGAGGGAGGGACAAAGACAGAGAAAGAGAGAATCCTGAGCAGGCTCCATGCTGTCAGTGCAGAGCCCGACACAGGGCTTGATCCCACAAACTGTGATATCATGACCCGAGCTGAAGTTGGTTGCTCAACCGACTGAATCACCCATGCTTCCCTGAATGTTCTTAATAATTGAAAGTTGAGAAGTTTGACGGTATTGGTGGATAGACACCATAATGGTTTGGGAAGTTTATTATGAATAATAATTTCTTCCATGGAGTCTGGGTTAGAGAGTTAAACAATTTATGTTCAATCAACTCTATTGCTCTGGAGCTGATTATCTTAACTCTCCTATTCTTTTCTGGTGTCTGACTTGATCACTTATTCCACAGCATCTTCACAAAGCATGGCTAGGGGAAATAAAAAGAGATGAAATTATAAACAGTCAACCTCATTACTTTTAACAATTATTCTTAAATATTTATTTCAAAAAGAGATGTTAAATTGAGTGTTAGTTGTTATTTAAATTCTTCCTGCTAGCTATGTTGTCAATTACTGTGGGTAATAAAACACTAAAACAAAACAAAAACTGAGAAGTCACAAAGAACAACTAAAATAATTAAATGATGAAGCAATGTATATGAGGATTACTTCATTCAGATAGTATTGAGTACGTACTGTGTACCAGGAACTCTTGCAGGTGCTTTGGGATATAACAATGAAAAAGATCCCTGCTGTTCTTTGTTTGCCTTCTGGGAGAAAGGGGTCAGTGGCAGGAGGTGGACAAACAATAAACAATAAGACAATACAAAGTGAATTAGGTAGTAACGATACAGTATATAGATAGACGCATTCATTTCCTAAGGCTTCCTTAACAGAATGCCACAAGCTGGGTGACTTAAAACAACAGAAAATTATTGTCTGACGGTTCTGAAGGCTAAAAATCCAAAATCAATGTGTCCACAGGGTAACGCTCCAATGAAAACTTACAGAGGAATCCTTCCTTGCCTCTTCTTAGCTTCAGCGTTAGCCAGTGGTCTTTGGTGGGTTTTGCAGGTGCATAAATGGTCTCTGTCTTCGTCATCACATGATGTTCTTCCTATGTCTGTGTTCAAGTTTCTCTCTTCTCTGTAAGGACATCAGTCATGTTGGAGTAGCCCCCACCCATGCCCCCATTCCAGTAAGACCTCCTCCTAATTTAACTAATTACATCTGTTAAGGATCCTATTTCCAAATAAGGTCACATTCTGAGGTCCTGGGGTTAGGGTTTCAGCATTTCTTTGGTGGGGTATGTGTGTAGAGGGAGTGCAGTTAACTTCTAACAATATGGTAGTGGATATTAGTAATGCTAAGAGCCTTAGAACAATAAAGAGCAGAGTCAGAAGGGGTGTGCATTTGTCAGGAGAAGCAAGAGAGTTGGATGTAATTTCTAATGGGATGCCTCCATCATCCTCATTGAGAAGATAACTTTTGTGCAAAGATTTGAAAAAGGCAAGAAGCTGTGTGGCAGTAAGGAAAAAGAGCACTCCAGGCAGAAAATATGGCCAATGCAAAGGCCTTGAAGTTGGAGCACATTTCAAGTGTTAAAGAACAGAAGGAAAGCACTATACCAGAAGTATAGTCAAGAGAGAGAAATTAGATAAGGAGCTAATTCAAGGACGGCTCTTATAGGTTCTTACAGGCATTTGGAAGGACGTTGATTTCTACTCTTCAGAAAATTGAGAGCTATTGTGAATTTTGACCAGACTTAGGATACAATATGACTTACATTTTGAAAGGATCACTCTAGCTATGAGAAGAAACTATGTTCCTCTGTCTTCTTTTATGATGTCAGCAAACATGAATGCTTAATATCTATCTATCTATAGATATACACATTAAGGCATTAAGTAGAAGTATGTGTGTATATGTACATACATAGGCACTAAGCATATTTATGTATGTGTAAAGAAAGAGACATTAAGCATTCCTTTTTTCCTAAAATCATATATATGCGTATGTGTGTGCTTTAATTCCATAATTTCTTTTACACTTTTTACATTAAATGCATTAATGGAAAGATACTTTCCTGTATCCATCATTTGGCTACCCAATGGTATAGTTCTTTCAGGAAAGACAAGATGAATACTTACTACT